CCTGAGTGCGGGCCGGGTGCCCTCCTCGACTAAATTCTTGCTAAAAAGTCTCCTGCTTTCATGTTCCTTGCCTGCCCCGCTCTGTCCCCAGGCTTTCAGTCAGTGTAAGCATCTGACCTGGCTGAATACTAAACCTACCTTTTTTTTTTCCCCTCAAGGTTTGTGATTTTTTTTTAATTTTTTTTTTTTTTTTCAAAGCTTTTTCAGTTCTCTGTGTAAACGCTACTGCTAGCACCGGAGGTTCAAAATGCCTGGAGAGTAAGACCGTCTATTGCTACAGCAGCTTTCAGTGCAATTGTTTCCAAAGGATTCATTTGTTATTAAACAGATGATCATAAACATATTAAACAGATGAACATAGAATCGTTTAGGTTGGAAAAGACCTTTAAGATCATCCAGTCCAACCATTAACCTACACTACCCAGTCCACTCTAAGCCACTCAAGGGTAGACTAGACTAAACCATGTCCCGAAGTGCCACATCTACCCGTTTTTTGAACACTTCCAGGGATGGGGACTCCACCACCTCTCTGGGCAGCCTGTTCCAATTCTTGACCACCCTTTCCGTAAAGAAATTTTTCCTAATTTCCAACCTAAACCTCCCCTGGCGCAGCTTGAGCCCATTTCCTCTCATCCTATCGCTAACTACACAGGCAACAGTGCCTGGGCACCTAATCTCACTGTGATCTCTGATGTGTAGGTGTCAAATAATAGAAGATGATTCTATCTGAAACTGTAATCTGCGTATGGAGAGAAGAGGGCTGGGAAAGGAGTGCAGTCAAATACGTTTTATTGCACCTTATTTTTGTATTCTCACTTTTATGAGCTAGGTGTGTCATGATTTTTTTTTTCTGCTGGAACAGATTACTTAAATATTAGTGAAGATGAGCAGCCACTTAAATACAAATATGGGAATAATGTATACACCTGTTCATGTATGAAATTCAGGCTAATATAATTAAACGTGATTAAGAAAAAAGCATTTATCCTGTAGCAGCTTGACGGTCAAGGAGTTCCTGTGGAAGCTGGTTTTGTTATTTAGGTCTCAGATTATCAAAATTACGTCAAGAATTTTGAAAAATCTTGTTTTCAGGTTGTTTTAGCAACTAGAACACAATTCTTGAATTTTGTTGAAGAATTCTTTAACAGATATTTCAGAAAAGGTGAGGGATGGAGTTTTTTCGCTTGAGGCACAACCTGTAGAATTTAGAAGCAATGCCTGTTCAATTCAGCTAATTGATTAGAGAAGGGATGTTGTTAATCACTAGCTATGCCTTTGCTATGCCCATCTGCTATTGTGAGCAGACAAAATTTTTCAAAGTGGCTCAAATATGTTGCTTTTTGAGCAGAGCAAAGGAAACGCGTAATCTGCAATATACACCCCTCAGATTTTTGTGAGTCCTTGTTCTGCAGCTGGTGCTACCTTAACAAATCCCTTTTGCTCCCAGCTGATTATGATTCTGCATTTCTGAATCTTGTTGATAATTTTTCTGCCCCAGACTGACCTACTTGTTTGCTGGTTTCATGGATTTCTGTCTTGTCCTTCACTTTGAGATCTCTTTGAAGGGAGGATTGTTGTTTTCTGTATACTTGTGGATCACCAGCAACAATCTGATTTGTGTGAGCTTTACTGTAATCAGAAAGTGAATTAATAATTTTATTATTGTTTTAACATCTGTTTGTTGTGCATAGTTCTTCAGTGTCTACAGGGGGAACAAGCAACAACTCTTAAATACTTTGTTTCTCTTTAATAGACTCAGATAAAGTTAGGTGTCAGACCACAGCAACAGAGTGATTTATACCTCTCTACTTTAGACCGGAGTGAATTAGCATTTAAGCAGGTTGTTCTTTTACTTATCTTCCCTAGCATGCTTTATGCTATAACATATATGCAAGAAACACTCCACAGGGTGATAATAACCCAGATGGGGTCTGTAATATTGATTTTATACATGTAGCGTAGCTTTGCCTGTCCCAAGAACATAATATGCACTTTTGCTGCCAAGTTTTCCCCTTGGGCCAGATTTGGACTATCTGCACTGCTCACAAGAGGAGCTTTGAAAGTGCGTTGTCTGTAGTAATGAGCTGTCCTAGGATAAACTGCAATTCTGACATAAGGCTTCTTCCACTACAGTAATCCCATTGTGGAGTTGTCCCAAAAGAATATTGCTGGATGCCTGGTTATGTGCACATTTTTTGCTGCTAGAGAAGATTTTACTTTTTAAGGTATAACTTAGTATGCAAATACTAGAGTTTACTGATGCAGAAACATGAAGCAGACATAAGGAAGTGACTCATGCTTAGTACTCTTGGGGAAAAAAGACATTTTTAAAAACCTGTTAGTGGAGATTATTCTGTCATTGTGGTATTACTCTGAGATAGAACTTCATATATATCTTTATACATACAAGATGAGTTTTGATTTGTATCGATTCCTTCTTTAGCTTAAATACTAAAAGTCAGTTTTTAGAACCAGAAGTTCAGGATCATTGCTGTCTCTAACATGTTATACTGTGCGGAAGATGTAGGAGTAGAATAATTATCTCATTCCTGAATTATATAGTCAGCTGAGAACTCTTTGTTATATGTGCAGTGGTAGGATTCCCTTCCTGCTCCTTTGTGCCTCATTTTCAGTGTGTTTACACTGGAATTCATTTGCCAATGTTTGCACTGAATTTCATGTGCTATTACTGTTATCTAAAGTGAACTTTACATGATGTCTGAAAACTTTATTTTTTCATGCTCAGATATAAGGGGGTTTTTATCTCTCTCTCTCTCTCTCTCCTTTTTTATGTATGTACTTTTTTTTTTTTTGGTATATAATTGCATTTTCTTAGAACTGAACAAGACCATAAGTTATTAAATACAGAAGGCTGAACTCCCTTTTTTAGCTATTCCACATAAAGCATTGAAGTATTTTTGCTGATATGTTGACAAGGAAGAAGAGCAGCATTCTTAAGGGGGTTATATGTCAATATTCATTTGCTGATAATTAGAGAAATGTATACTTGGTATATTGCTTGTGTAAAATGTCTCTTAGCTGTTTAGATCAAAAACTAAGACCCAGCGTGTTATTTTAAATATATTGCAGATGGTCTGGAAAATGTACAACAAAAGGAAATCTTTAAAGAGAGTAAGAAAAGGACACAAGAGAGAAAAGAGCCATGTCCTGCTGATTCGGTAGAATCTCTGATGGCGGAAATGCCATTTGTCGACACAGATATTGAAGATGAATATGTTAGTAAGTATATTAAACAGAAGTAGTGTGGAAGCATAGGCACATCACACAGTCAGTTCTTGGTCCTGCCTGTTGGCACGTACAAGGGGGCTGTGCACAGAGTCTCCCTGCGAACAGGATCCAGTCCAGAGCCTCTCTTACTAGTACTCAGTCCTACAAATACTTGAGCATATTAAAAATTTACCATTTTGTGATCCATTGCAGCAATGAGTCACAGAATAAAGACATGTCGTATGTCAATTCACATTACTGTATATAAGCTGCTCACGTGGTGGCTTTTATGAGCTACCTTCCAATATAGCATGTGGCTATAAGTGCACCTCTGATTGGACAGTGGATGTCTGCAGCCTGGTCAGCTTAGGGGTATGTATCAGACCACATGGTGGGAGAGGGTCTGCGAAATCTTGAGGAAATAAGCTGAGAGAAAAATAATTTGTGGTGCAAAGGAAGAATTAAAGACATGCAATTTTCTTTCGCTGTCTGTGTTGGAAGGGGTCTTTGGGAAAGGAGGAGGTAGAGAGTAGATCTGGCTTGGATTAAATTTTCTTCTGGGCTGGGTTTGGTGCTTGACCTATAGGCTGGCCAGTCCTAGTCTAATATAACCTTTAATAATCCTATATATTGTCTTGTTTTATATTTCAAAATGCACTGTGCATGTGATACTGAAACTTAATGTTGGTGCTTTTGCTCTATGGTCAAGTCCATTTTCAAGTGCAGACAATCTGCAGGCCTATTCCACTGCAGTATGAGTTAGCTATATGAAACCCAGTAGTTTGGAAGCTGCGTGTCTATATTAGCAGCTTATAAACCCTGCTTAGAGGTGTAGGCTGTTAGTTCAAGTATGGTACTCCACTTGTGTGACTACATTAATTCAGGTTGGAGTAGGATCCCAATCAGACAGTTCAGACCATGGGCAGATCAGATGACTGGGAAGACATGCACCAGTCAGTTGACTGAAGTCCAGCTCCTGTTGGCATGATATTAAGTGTGTCTTTGTTTTGATTTGTCTGTATGCTGAAAGTATTTTTTTTTTCTCTTCAGTGCATGCAACCTCTGAAATAAATATAAAAAAGAAAAGAAAGAGAACTGCTGGAAGGGAAATTGAAGAAGGCAGTGAGAAAAAGAAGAAAAAGAAAAAACAGTATCAGCCGAATTACTTCATTTCTCTTCCAATTACTAATCCAGAGGTGATATTCTTTATTATACTAATTTGGTATAACCAGAATTACTTCAACAGCTGCATGTGTTTATAAGAAGAACAGTGTTTGATCTTGAGCAAAATAATTTTTTTCAGGTATTTTTAAAGGAACATTAGCAGCCTATTCAAAGAGTAACTTTATTTTATGTAATATTTTTGCAAATAAAATTGCTTATCTGGAAAAATCTAGAGGAAAAATATTTATCTTTTTATGTGGTTTGTCAGTCTTGTGGATTTCACATTATTTTGACTGAAGCTGACTTAAATTTCCCCTCTGTACTGTCCCAGTATTGCTTATTTTGTCATTCACTTAGAATAGGGGAGAGAGACAGTCTTATTTAATTTAATAAGAAAATCCCTAGCATAATTTTTAGCTCTCCTTATAGATAGGAATTTAAATTTGGATCTGTTGCTGTTTTAACTAGGCAGTTTGTAGTTTAACATTTTCTAGTAAAATTGATCATCTTATTTAAAATTCAAACAACCTGTTGTTTTAGTGAGATGTACAAATGGATTCAAGAAGTGCAGAGAGCTCTTTAAGAAACTGTATTTTCTTGTAGTTAGCATGTGTTTTCTCATTTAGACAGTGAATGAGAATGATTTCTTACATGCTGTGGGATGTCTCTGATATGGGTTTGATACCTTTTGCGTCTGCAAAGAAGGAAAGCAGGTGCATTATATTTAAAAAGTTAAACCCAACTGTTTACCACCATTTCCAGATATAGGTTTATTTTTTAATACCAGGAGCTATCTCAGGTGAATTTTAAATCATCCTACATCTGTACTATCTGTTCTGTGAGAACAGAGGGAATCTGGTAATTACTGGTAGTATTTCAGTTAGCAGTGCGAGACCTTTCTTTTTTTGAGGATCTGATTTTATTCCAGTGAAGTGTTCTAGGCATTAGTACTCTTTTTTTCATATTTTATATAGTATTTTAAGCTTTACACAAAGAACTATTTTGTAATAAGGGATATTTCTGGAAAATTTAATGAACTATTCCTCTTGGAAATTGAACAGTTCCCTTGTTTTCATTTTAATTATGTTTTGAATCTTCAGAAATAGAATGTGGTGTGCCATTAATTTTTAATTTATATTGAACTTTGCATTATTACTTGTGCAAAAATAGCTAAATGGGTGATTATCATTGTATCCTTTTCTGGTAATTTTTTTTAAAGTTGTATTTCATCTGATGTGTTATCACTTGGTAGGTTAGTCTTTCAGGATCCTCCAGTCTTGATTATAATTATAATTAATCTGTTAAATCTTTTTAACGCTTACAGTCTTTATATTCACCTACTAGTAGTACCCTTGCAATAAGCAAACTAAGTTATTTTATTACTCTACAGAATAACATATTCCAAGTAATGGGAGAGGGGACACTGAGATCAGTATTTGAGGCCTTATTCTGGAGCACTTTTTAAAATAATCTGAGAGGGGAATTGTTGAGTATGATCTGCCTTCAGACATTTCTTTTAGTTAAGTTAGGAAATCTCAAGTTAAAAGAAATAGCATGATAGGAGTTGAAATGTAACATAAAACTTTGTAAAGTAATGTAAATAGCAGGTTAAGTAGCAATTTAAACTTTTAATTTATGCAGTACTAATTTCCTACAATTTTTGTGGAGTTGGTGATTAAAAGAGAGCGTAAAAGTGCGTAAAAGAGAGCCTTGAAAGAACATGCTTGTGTTGAAGACTGTAGCGTGAGTGTGGCAATTACCCATCCTTCTGGACCTGCCAGCTGACAAATTAATATCTGCATGTTTGTTAGCCAGTCAGCCCCTTACAGCTGAAAATCAGCCACAGCATGTGTTGCATCTTGCCCAAGCCAGAACTGAACTATATGAAGGAGCTGGAGGTAGTTTAGGACACGAGCAGGAAGGGACTTGGAAGTACTACTGAAGGAAACTATATGGGTAAGGGGATGTAGGGTGTTGGCTGCCAATCTGAATGCTCTTTGATCTTTTTCAGAGCTAGGATGGTCTTACTGCTATGATAACATAGTTCCATACCTGTCTTCTGTATTCTGGAGGGCTTGACACTTTTTTTTTCTTTTTTCTTTGCCAGCTCTCAGGTGCAAATTAAGTTTAGAAGCAAGAGTTGAAAATGGAATAAAATTGTAATTCATATGATAAGTGATTTCATTTTTGAAGTTTGGGGTTTTTTTCCTTAGAGGTATAACTGCATTTGCTTTAGTTTATAAACTTAAATAATTATGCAGTCAATACACTGTAATTATCAAGGATCATCTTTACCATTTTTTTGCTGAAATGTGGGTTAAATTTCTCCTACGTCTGAGACAATAAAAGGGTTGTTTATCCAGGATAAGATCAGTTGGAACATATAAAGGAAGATGGCCATATTACAACATGATTTATGATCAAAATGTTGGTGCAATTTTCTCCATATGCCTTACACTACCTAAGACACTTGTGGTTTTGTAGATGCCATATCACCTTTTTCCGGCAAGTGGCTTTTACCTTCCTTCTTCCTCTCCACCCTCCTTGAGGTGGTTCCTTTCAGTTATAATTTGTTTTTATTTACATGGCACTACTAGATATCTATGGCACATTAGGTAAAACTCCTGCATGGCAAAACTCATCTTAAGAAATTTGGTCAGTGAATTCCTGACCGCTCCCACTAAATTGTGTTTTTTTCAGGAAATTTATGTGTTCATTACAATTAACAGAGCTACCAAAATATATGAAGGCTTTTTTTTTTTTTAACCTAAGAGCTATTTGTGCTTATGATATAAAAGTCAATATATACAGTATATTTGTGAAGCATTTGCCACCGAGCCTCAAATAAATAAAAAAATCAGATTGACGTTTTCTACATGCTTCTTTTAGACTTTATACACCAAACCTGATTTATCTGTAATGTCTTTGCTTATCATGCTTTAAGAAATAACTCATTTTGTCAGATGGTCAAGGTTATTGGACTTGATTTAGTTTCCACTAACATATTCAAGAATTGTTGCAGGGGTTTTTTGGTTTGGTTTTTTTTTTAATCACTACAATACAACTATCATAATGGCAAGCACAGTAAATATTTTAGATAGAATTTATAAAGCATGTATAACCATACAAATAATTTTCAGTGAAGAAAATTAATTCAAATAATTTTAAAGAAAAAGACTGATGAAGTTAGAACTGTATACATGTTGTATGGAAAGTCATTAAAATATGTTTGAAGAGAGTATATAAATTATATCTGTCCACTGGACAGTATAATCAGAATTGTAAATCTGATATCTCTACAAATTATTTACTGAATATTCCTGTTTTGTATATGCCCAATCCTGCAAAGATCTCTTTCTTTTTCCAGACACTTGTCTGCACATAGCAACATACAAGTTTAGCAAAGCGGGCAAAGAAGGTCCTTGAAGAAGCCTTTTGTTTGGATTACTGGCAGTGTAAAACTGGATGATCTTAATCTGCCCCAGGAATTTATCATACTTATGGAAGCAAACTCCTATTAAGATGTGATGGGGAGTGTCCAGTGATTTATTAATCACTCCATTCGTACCCACTTTGAGTTTACTTAGGTCAATTAGCACAGCTTTGTCAGAGGATAACATTTTCTTCTGCTAGAATGATTTTTATGTAAACATTTGATTTCAGTTTGTGTGCTTTCTTGTTCACTTGCATGATGGGATACAGTAATTGTAACAGCTTCTGTGTCTTGTCTGTCTTCCCAGATTACTGGCAGTATTCAGGCTGTCCAAGATGCAATAACGCAAAAGGATCAAAGGCTTTCCAAAGCAATGGTTCACTCTGGCTCGTTGCATGTCACCATGTTAGTGATGCATTTATCCAATGAAGAAGAAATTAGCGTGTAGGTATTTGGTGTTAAATTAAGTATATACAAGTATTTTTGCTGGAGGAGTTCATAAAAAGACTAGAAGGGGTAACTAGTGCTTATTTTCTGTCAGCCCTAAATTCCTAGGGTTACTGAACATTAATTCATAATCTTAATATTAGCCGTTTTCATAACTTGTGGTATGTCATGAGCTCCGAACAAAGTATGCTTTTTTTCCTTGCATTTTTCATACCGTGTGCTGAACTCGCATGCACAAATCTCATGTTTGCTAAGGTAATTATTTTAAAACAATGTTTTGATATAGGGGACACTGAACAGATTAATGGGCATTTTCAGAATTTCATAGCTTAGCAAATGTTATAAGCCAAATTAGTAACTGTCACTGAAAGACTTTATTAAAGTAAACCTTAGCTCCAGGCTAATGCCTCATGCAGTCAGAGGGTTTTTTATGTCCCTAAATTAATGTATTACACTCAAAATTTAAGTACACTAAAAGAGAGGTGGCTATTAGGCCCCATCAAAAGTACAATTTTTATATTGCTTCAGTGATATAGCTAATTTTTTTATCATATAAAAGGTAGAACAGTTGTGGAAAGGTGTATGTAATATACAATGACTTCATGTATCTAAGTGTTAGATGTGACTACTTGCTTTATAAAAATGCAGTTCTTTGGTGTTTTTTACTGTTTATCACATGTTGTACTGCTACCTGACAAGCCTACTTTAACATACAAGTTCAATGGTGAATACAAAGATGTTCAGACTTTTAAGTCTATCTATACAGCTGTAATTTATGAATGTTCAGAATAATAACTTGTGTGCCTAGCTGTAGTTTTGACTTGAAATGAAAACATACATTGTATTTTATAGTCTTGCTCTACACAGACTTTCTCAATGGTTTCTATGTAGATGTGGTGCCCAATGGCCCGCATATGTGATGTCTCTATATTTGCACATTATAATTGCAGAATTGAGATTGCAAACACTTCAGTAACTGTAACAAAGTATTATGTGAAATGCTGATAAATGGCCTACTGGCATTATATGAACATCTGGGAATCCTCCATTGCTTATGTGTCAATTTTGTAGTGAATTGCTAATGAATCAAAATTCATCAGATCCTTATAATTCTGTGAAAGACAAGCCTCATGGTTTCATCTCCCCCAGATGAGTTCTTTCAGGGGCCCTCTGTCATATATCTCTCTCTCTCTCTCACTGTTTTTCTCTGCGGTGTTAGCAGGCATGCAGTCCATGTACTGAATTATCTAGATCAAGTGATGAATAAGTGCAGTGAGACATTGCTTTGGTTACGGTAATACAGTTACAAATTAATGTGTCCAGTAAGTCTGTGTCGAGTAATTTTTCCCCCCAGAAGGTTTGGCTGTTAAAGCGCAGATTGCTCATAAGAAAGCAAGAATCCAAGATAGAATGTAGGAACCATTTGGTAGTCATGGGCATGCTTCTAGTAAGTAGAAGTATTTTGGCTGAAAACATTTAACACATGTAAAAATAATGAGGTATCACTATATCTAAATCAATTTCCCTGCTTGTTTTTCACACTTCTTTCCTTGAATGCTATATCCTTGAGGCCACTACACTCTTACCTTTCCTGTGAGGATGTGAGTCTGTCAGTATCCTCGCCTCCAACAGTCTGATCTGAAGGGAGAGGAACAGATAGCAAGGAACAGAGAATAGAAATGAGAGCAAAGGATACTAGATCTGCTAGACTCCCTCTTCTCTCCATGTGCCTTTTGTCTACTGGAGTAGGCACACCAGCTTCCTCCTGCCCTGGTTGATGAGCAAACTATGGTAGCACCTGGAAATCAGTGAGAACAACCACTGACTGTGTACACCAGATGTTTTTTTAAAAAGGGTTTCAAGTGTGAACTTTTTAAAAAGGGAATGTGAGAGGATATCTCAAAGGCAAGTATGCCTCCTCATGAATATTTTTTCAGTCCTAAACTGTATATCAAAACAAATATTCCCAAATTCAGTATCTTCTGCTACTCCTTGAGCTCATTCTCAGCTCTCGCTGTCTGACTGCCACCCAAGCACGCACTTACGGAGTTCTTCTCTGCCTCTCCCAGCAGAACTCCACGGTCCAGGCACCCAGGAGCTGTCCTCTAGTCAGCAGCAGCTTCCCCAGTGATTCACCCCTTCCCTGGCCAGATGCCCCCTCAGGTATCTAGCTCAGCTATCCTCAGGTATTCTAGATTGCATTTTCTGTATAATACGGGATTCTTTTTTTTTTTCCATAACTGACGTTTTCTGTTTAATCTTTTGGGAGAACTTGAAGAATAAAAAGTTGAATTTTCCTTTCTTTGCTTCACCAATTTTTGATACCAGGTTAATGGAAAGAAACCAAGATTCAGGCTGGCAAAAGAACCTGTGTGTAATGTGGGGTGAGAGTAATCTCTCACACAAAGTGCAGCTAGTCAGCTGGGCATCTTGAGAGTTCATAGATCCTTAGGTTTGGATCCATTAGGTTACTTAGATATCTACAGGTTTTATACTGTGTTTGCACAATAGTGCCTCTGTCTATACAGAAATGAAATGTGTTGAATACTATTTGAAGTCAAAACGCGTGATAAGAATGTGCTAAACATAACATTCAATTCGGCACAAAGCCCTTTGTATGCTATTTTAGTACATACAGCTTTCACCCTGAAAATGGAAGATCTGTATTCTGGGCCGCTCTTTCTATCTAAGGGAATCTAGACCTGCAATTCCCATGTGAGTTTCCTAACTGATTGGCCACGATCTAGCCTTCATGAATGCACTTTACATCTCTTTTTGTAGGACTGTATGAAATCATGAATGTGAGATTTTAAAAACCGTAAAGAAAGCAAGCAAGAAAGAGTCATGACAGCACTCCTTCAAGCAAAGGAGTTCTAGTCCATACTAACTGTATGCATAGTCGTGGGATCAGGTACTAGAAATGAGGATGCCTGTCTTTGCAGTGAATGCCTTCATTACCAGACTGTAGCGTCAGGTGGTTCTTGCTTGTTATTTGTCAAAGACTCTATGAGTCTAACCTTTTCATTATAAATATGAGAGCTGGAAGGATTCAGTTTGGCTGTTTTTGCAAGGTTGCTTTTTCTAACAAGTAATCAAAATTAACAATTCAGAACTTTCTAAAAAGCAATTACATCAGTTTTAAGTGCTATAATATGTACATTACAACAATACAGAAAAAAACACTGCTTCTGTAATCCTAGTTTGTATTCACTTAGAATATGCTGTTTAATTTTGGGTTTTTTCCCTTTCTCCACTTTGGAGCAAAATGCTTGTAAACTTTTGTTATCCCTGTGGGTTAGTTGCACTGAGTGTAACTACTGTTTGGCATCATAAATACTTTTTAGTATGGCATAACAAGAAAATAGCACTGTTGTGTTTGTTGCTATTGACTTCAGTGGAAATGTTTGTCCTTATGTGTTAGTCTTACAAAGCAATTGTTAGACATTACAAAGTGGTTGATAGAATATGAAAATACAAAATATACTAGAGTGAGATGACAACTATTTTTCTAAATATTTTAGTGTTTACAAGATTATATGTAACAGAAAAAGTAGAGCTAAATCTTCAGTGACACAGTGCTAAACTGAAAACACACTGCACTGTTTGAATTGACCTTTTGTAGACCTCATGAGGCAGAGTTGAGCTGGTCAGTGAGTTCTGCAGCACACCCAACAGTATGTAAATATAAATCTTTGTTCAGCTGGGGAACAGAGCTTTCCATGATTCTCTCAGACGCAAAAAAGCCAGAGATGGATTTTAGGTATGTGCATGATTCACTACTTGAAAGCCCGCTGCAATCTTTGACACAGTGTATTTAAAATATCCGTACTTGTTTTGGAACAAGTTTCAGGTTCATGTTGGTAAATAAATCTAGACATGATTACCTGCAAAGTAATCTGACAGGTATAATCAGTGTTAGATGGTGGTTTTGAAAGGTCTTGAAGTATAGCACATACAGAAGACATAGGAACAGGCTTGTCTAATGATGATAGAAGGGTAGGTAAGTGGGAGAGACTATGCTCAAAGAAAAATATCTTTGCCAAGGGAACAAGTAATGGCATTGTTGTTTAAAGTGGTTATATAGGAGCTAAAGTACTTCTGTGTTATTTTTATAGGGCTTTAATCTACAACCTAGGAGGACTACATCAGTCAAGGACATTTTGTCATGTAATCAACCTTAACATTTTTCTTAACCTGGTCTACATTTCAACTAAATGCATAGTTCTCATCAAGAGTCCATCTTGTTAAATACAATGGAAACGTGTGTAGAGTTGTTTGTAATTGTACAGGCTTAAAGAATATAATTTACCCCTACTTTAGAAATCATGGTGATGGCTCTCATCCAGCTAGGACAGAAAAAGTAAAATAAACTCTCTTGAGAGTTTTTAACCTGTCACTGCCATCTAGCGTTTATAAAGTCAATTTTGGTTTAGTGAAAAGTTTTCTTAATTCTATTCAATGAAATCAAATTTAAAACTGTGAGCATGTTGAGGGATCTTTTAGAAGACACTAAGAATATTTATATAGGTTGTGTTTAGCATGTGAGTCACTTCAAGTGCAGGTCAAAACAAATATTTCATGTAATCGTACATGCATTTAATATGGCTAATTAAAATGTTTATTAAAAGGTTACCAGGTTTGCTTCTGTTTCTTAAGGTACGCGTAGATTATGTGCATGCTACTTATCTCTTAAAGAAAGTAATCATCAATTTGGATAGTACTTCTTTTAATAACAGTTCTCAATGAGCTCAGTAGTAATTTCCATATAATTTTATCATTTTATATATATATATATAATGTCACTAAGCTCTGTTTATAATATTAAGTAACAGTCTGTAGTAACTTTGAATGAAGCAGAATCTTCGAGTGTTCAGTTCACCTATCAGAAGGTAAAAAAAGTGAATTAATTTAAGAATGGAGAACTGAATGCTTCCCAGTAAGCATCTTATTTAAATGGGATGCATAGAATGATAGAGATGCTATCATCTTAATATCTAGTCACCTTGAGGACTGAGATGAAGTCTTTTGAGGAATTACACCTGCTGCTGGTCTGCCTTATTATTTCTGTGGTTTTACAGCAGGGTGTATGAACCAGTTTACCTTTATAAAATGGTAATAATAATACTGACTGCATTGATAGGAAGTACCCGAATAGATAATAAATTGATACTAATAAAGCTTTCTGAGATTTTTTGATAGAATGATTAATAGCAATGTAAATAGTATTAATATATTTGACTTTCACGTAGATATTTTCTTTCCTCTTGACAGAGCAGTTGGTGCTCTTTCAGACAGCAAGGATTTTGTAGAAGATCTCCTAAAAGGAAAAACCGTGGATTTGTCTTTTCAAGGAATTGATCACTTCAGAAATGAAGTTGGATTTGTGAAGTTGGCAGAAAACGATCATACAGCTATACTTATGGAAATAGCAGGTACAACTTGTCAATATAGTTTAAGTGTTTTAAAACATTTTGACAACCTAGATGGGAGTGGAGCACAAAGATAAGTTGGTGCTAATTTAGTCAACATTAGTTTAACAACTGCAAAGGCTACGTGACAAATTTCCCAGCATAGTTCAAAAGGATATAAATGAATTACAGACAGTACTGTTATCTGATATCTTTTTATTTAGTACATGTAAAAAATGTAGTGCAGGTTTGTAGATGAATACAAGGATGCCATTCTACCTTGTTTTGGTCCAAATACTGTCTGTTGTTTCTCAGCTGATATTTATACCCCTTTCAATTTGTGTATTCATACTTACTGACCTTAAGAACTCTATCTTTGATGCATCTTACCTGACTTGCAAAGTTACATAGTTCTCTCCTTTGTGTTCATGCTGAGTAGAGCACTGAGAGACAGTGACATTCTTTCCTTTTCCGTGGTCTGGGGAGTCTTTAAGTTTTGTGTTTCCTGTATATTATACATATCAGTCTTAAATCTGAGTGAATTAAGTGTAACTTATGACTCCCACACATATAAGAGCATATATACACACACACATATATATGTATACATGTATATATGTATTTTATGGTACATTTATATATAAACTAAAACCTGGACCTTCTCTACACTCCTGGAGGATAAGGGGAATTCAGGAGAAAGATACGATTCATCTGCCAGAGGAATGGAGTTGGATTCCATGCTGCTTTAGCCTGAAATTTTTTTTGGAGCTGTTGTGGAACCAGTCTGTGGCTTGTTCAATGTTAATTGCCTTCCTTTGGCAATTAGGAAGTTACTGAAAGATGTGGCAGGTACATGCTACTATGCATGTGCACCCACATGTTCACTTCAAGAGCGAAACTCTCAGTTCTGTCTTAACAGTGGAGCTAAGGCCGCTGCCTTTGCCAGTCAGATAAAATGCATCCAAAGATACAGTTCAAGTCAGTAGGAATATGTAAATTAAAAGCAGTGTAAATATCAGCTGAGAAACAGCAGTCACTACATAGACCAAAACAAGGCAGAGTGGCATTTTTTATCTGTCTGTGAGCCTACACTTAAACTATGTTGTTTACAGATATTAAATAAAAATTCTCAGTGAACAGTACTGTCTGTAATTCATTGGTGTCCTTTAAAACTATCCCGGCAATTCCAACTATTCCTTGGAAAGACTCTTTAAAAGAGTTTTTCAGTATTGATGAATTATCTTTTGTGCTCTGAGGAATGTGAGGTCACACCATTTTTTAATACTGCAATAGCCCATATAGGACATTTTGCCGAGTAGTAAAGACTGCTGCTGTCACGCTACCTCTTTGCAGTCCAGTACAGAGAAAAGATGGAAAAGGTCTTTATTAGTACAGTGCTTTCTCTAGCAATTCATTAGTTCAATTTCTGAAGTGCCTTTAGAAAATGTTTAGTATTTTTTAACTCAGATTTTAAAGAAAGGCTGACTAGAAGACTCTGAGCTTTTCAGCTTACCAAATTGCTTATGCTGTTATTGGGCAATGCTTTATTATTTTAAGCAGCGCTCGATAGAGAAGTATTTCTAATATTCAGTATGGTAGAAATTGAACAGTACTTAAGTTCCAGAGAGGTTTCGGTTGTCCAATAATCCCGTAATTATTTCAAAGATTGAATCTACCAAGTCCTTTGGATGATATGCTTCCTCATCCTTGTCTTTGAGTTTGTCTCTAGATTTCTTTTAAAGGTGACAGAATATTGTATGTATGGTGTTTTAGAAACAGTGAGATAATGTATAAACTGTTCCCTTTCAAATACCTTTTGTGAAAGGAGATGTATGGTTTCTGTTAGTGACAGTAACTTTTGATTTTGAGAAGTTTATAGTTAATTATTAAGAACTCCAAAATAATTGAAGTTGCTAGACGTGGAGAGCCAAATATCTTTTAACTACAGGAAATAAAGGAGTTCGTTATGAGTGATTTTCTACACATCTGTACTGGGTTTGTGTGGCAAGGTTTTGGTAGCAGGGGGGGCTACAGGGGTAGCTTCTGTGAGAAGCTGCTGGAAGCTTCCCCCATGTCCGACAGAGCCAAAGCTGGCCAGCTTCAAGACAGACCTGCTGCTGCCCAAGGCCAAGCCCATCAGTGATGGTGGCAGCGCCTCTGTGATAACATATTTAACAAGAGGAGGGTAAAACCCGCACAACTGCAGCCAGACAGGGGAGTGAGAATATGTGAGAAGAATGACTCTGCAGACACCAAGGCCAGTGAAGAAGGAGGGGAGGAGGTGCTCCAGGCACCGGAGCAGAGATTCCCCTGCAGCCCCTGGTGAAGCCCATGGCGAGGCAGCTGTGCCCCTGCAGCCCATGGAGGTCCATGGTGGAGCAGATATCTACTGCAGCCCAGGGAGGACCCCACGCCAGAGCAGGTGGATGTGCCCGAAGGAGGCTGCAACCCCATGTGAAGCCCGCGCTGGAGCAGGCTCCTGGCAGGACCTGTGGACCCGTGGAGAGAGGAGCCCAGGCTGGAGCAGGTTTGCTGGCAGGACTTGTGACCCCGTGGGGGACCCACGCTGGAGCAGTCTGTAAAGAGCTGTAGCCCGTGGGAAGAACCTACATTGGAGCAGTTTGCGGAGGACTGTCTCCTGTGGGTGGGACCCCATGCTGAAGCAGGGGAAGAGTGTGAGGAGTCCTCCCCCTGAGAAGGAAGGAGCGACAGAGATAACGCATGATGAACTGACCGCAGCCCCCATTCCCTGTCCCCCTGCACTGCTTGTGGGGAAGAAGTAGAGAAAATTGGGAGTGAAGTTGAGCCTGGGAAGAAAGGAGGAGTGGGGGGAGATTGTTTTAAGATTTAGGTTTTATTGCTCATTTTCCTACTCTGATTTGTTTGGTAATAAATTAAATTAATTTTCCCCAAGTTGAGTCTGTTTTGCCTGTGACGGTAATTGCTGAGTGACCTCTCCCTGTCCTTATCCCAACCCATGAGCTTTTCATTTTATTTTCTCTCCCCTGTCCAGCTGAGGAGGGGAGTGACAGAGCAGCTCTGGTGGGTACCTGGTGTCCGGCCAGGGTCAACCCACCACAACATCTTAGACTAGTGAACCAGACTTTGATCAGAATTAGACAAGTAAAAGATGAGATCAGATGTCCACCTTTGTTTTTCAGTTTGACAGTCCTCCCTAGTAGACAAACTTAGTACAGTCAAATCTAGCAAACAAGCAAACCTATGTTTTCTTTGTAAAGCATAACTACTAATGCTCACTGGTGAGCATTCTTTGCTTATATTACAACTACAGCTGTATATTATTATTTTCACTTAACACTGCTGTTTAGTAAAAATGGTGCTTACTTTTGCCAATCGAATGGATAATTTCTTGGCCTTAGGCCTGTTGTTCAGTCTCTAGACTTATACAGTGATGTTTGTTTTGTCTGGATTTTAGTTCTGAAACAGGGTAGGGAGCTGAACATTACCAGAAGAAAATGGTAAAACGACTGAAAATGTTTAATGGATATGACTGCAGGATATGCTATCTTAACACTTCTTAGTGACTGTGATAACTGTAACTTCTGAATTGCTGCTGATTTCAGAGTATCTTTTTGTGCCTTCTTGGAAGTGCTAATATTATTTCATAATGGGTAACCTATAATTCATGAAAGCAAATTCAGTTTTTGTATCGATGCTTGTGCCAGAAAAAAAGTTTTTAGGTCTGTAATTATGTAACACTGGAGATTATACAAGTGTGTTTCAAATGTTAGCTTAGTTACATATTAAATTAGTGGAAAGGCCAGGTATGAGTAGGAAGAAAATGAGTACACTAAATAGTTTCTATGTATGTCTTCATTAGATTAAATTGCAAAGAATTTAATACAAGTAACCTGATAAAAATAGATAATTTCTTATTACACAGATGTCCTTCAGGGCAGTGCAATTTGGAATGTGAAATAACATTAAACAAAAGAATCCATGTGAACTCTTCAGAACTGATGAGGTAAACAAGAGAGTTGTTAAGATTCTCCCTTATCCCCCAAGCGTATCACATGTATAATTCCTTTAACATAACAGTATGCTTACAGAGTTAATTGCAACACAATTTAGTTTGCATGCAGTTTTTATAAAACGTTAGCAGACAATCCTCTAAGGGACGAACCTTCTACTGAAGGTGTTGCATTTTGGGAAAAAGACCATGTAGTACTTTCTGGCCTGCACTTGACTCAATAAATATACCTTCTAATGTAACAAATCATATTAGCAGAAATGTGCCATTCAGTTTATTTTCTGTAATACATTTCATATATTAATTCAAAACAGGCTGTATGTCAAAATTATGCCTAGTATTCCTGCTCTGTGGATAGTATCCTGAATACACAATTCTGGAGACAGCTGCAAGAGAAAATATTGGAAACTCTTTTCTGCTGGGCTGCTATTGCCAGGATCTGTGTGAAGATTGCTATCAGCTCTTCATATATACTGCTGTGAGGTTATATATGTTTGACAGAAATTAATAGTCACAAGTTTACTCTGGCTTCTAGTACAGCTTGCATGTGATATAACTTGTGTCCCTAGAAAACTGCAATTTTAAAACTGAAGCTGGCAGAAAGAAAAAAAATATACAATATTGCCTGCAGATGTTAGCCATTCTGTTGTTCATGGAACAATAAAGAGAGATCACTTCTGTAGCTAGTTTGATTTTTGACAAAACCTCAGTTTAGTTTATTACAGAATTACTGTTTCTGTTTTAAGATTATGTTTGATTTCTGCTATGCTCTAAGGTGAATTTTGACTTCATGTGTTATTTTGTGTTCTACATGGATGTTGAAGGAGAAATACTGATAACACAAACAATAGAAAATATATGAAGTTAAATGAGCTTCTTGTAAGAGCCCATTTAGTTCCATAAACTACATGGAAATTTGTTTGATACCAATAATGTCTGAATATGGTACAACATTATAATGGTAAGTGCATGTTTGTTAATGCCAATGTAAATGAAAGTTTGCCACAGACAAAAGTTCAGGAAAAGCAGAGCT